GCATACTGCAGCATATTGTAATATACAATAGCATGTTCTAGTTTGTTGTAGCATATCATATCACAGCATAGTGCATTATAGTATATCACAATGCATTATCTATATTATAAGATAATATACGATAATACAGATAATACAATACACCTTATTTCAGCAAGTTTTTATAACCCATTGTGTGATGCTATGAAAAGAGTTATACGTTACTATTATATACTATGTCATATTATATATTATGATCTGTTTAATACATTTAGTCATGTATAGAGTATTATATATACTATATATCATATTTTTCACATATGTTATATATGCTATACTATATGTTCTATATTATATGCTCTGTATCATAGCATATAAAATGTAGAGTATACATATAATTATACTGTATGATATTTGATATAAACATAGAATATATGACATATATATATATATTCAGGATATAATATTTAATATCTACATATTCTATCGAATTCAATATGAGTTGAACCGTTGTCTCGGTTTAAGCGGAGGAAGCGAGAAAAACACGAAAAACGTGCGAAAAAGGCGAAAACGCGAAAAACATGTGAAAAACGGCCAAAACCGCCAAAAAAGCACACATCACGAAAAATGCCAAAAACGCGAAAAACCCGCGAAAAGCACGAACAATGTGAAAAAACAGTGGAAAAAGACGCGAAAACCACGAAAAACGTGCAACACGCGAAAAATCCGAAAAACGAGAAAAACGCGAAAAACACGAAAAACGCGAAAAACGCGAAAAATGTGAAACATGCGAAAAACGTTCGTTTTTCTCGCGTTTCTCGGTTTTTGTTTTTTTTGCGCTTTTCTTGTTTTTTTTTGTTTTTTTGTTTTTCTCGTTTTTTGCGCTTTTCTCGCTTTCTCCGATAAACCCACGACGCGCGAAATGTTGGCTTAGGCACTTTGGACCCTTGCTAAGGGTTAACCCTTAGGTACCTATGATAGGAATACAAGGGAATCCCAAAGGGTCAAGGGTCTAAGGTCCAAGCTAGGTCCCAAGGAGCAACCAGCTTAGATTGGACACAATGTAGGGCTCAGGGGGATTTGGGGAGTCGGCTTCTGTTCAGGGCAAAGGCCTGGCATGTACTCTTGTATTCAAAGTGAGATAGGGGCTCCTTATTAGCCGATATGGTAACCTAGCTTTTGGTGCATGGCGTAATCTTCACCATGGTCATTTGAAGTCGGAAATGTCTGGAGTCCCATCTGATGACCGCGGCTCTAGCATTAGCGTCTATGAAGTATCAAATGCTGTTAAGGAACTTAATTTTGGTGACTATATTGGGTATATAGGGTTTAGGGTTTAGGATTCAGGGTTTAGGGTTGCTGATGGTGGCTCTAGCATTAGCTTACTACAAAAGATTACACCCTAACATCCTCTTCACAGCAGCGACATAGAGGGGCTTTCAAAAATGTAGGGTCTCCTCATATACCGACCAACACTATATAAACCTTATCATAGGAACCCGAGGAAAAAGACCTTGAATTGTTGTACCCCCCCCCCTTCACTGACAGCCAACCAGGAGAGGTGCCCCGATGCATAGCAGAGCAGGGAGCTCAAGCAGCTACTTTCCTGGTAGTAAGTCAGGAACTGAGAATATTAGCATTAGCTAGTATAGTCTAAAGTCCTAGTGTCCCCCTTAATAGGCCCTATAATACTCCGCTAAAAAATTACCTATACAACCCCCTTTGACGAGCTTAGATTATAGCTAATATGGCTCTCAAGGACTGTAAGGAGGGGCTGCGGAAGGTGGATTCTACGGACCTATTCTTCCTACCCTAAGGGTCCAAGTACCTAATAATCAAAAACTAACCCAAAACATGTACCATAATTCCAAACCAAAACCCAAGTACCTAATTATTGGATACTTGGACCCTCTGGGCTACCGGCCACCAGTAGTTCACTAAGCCACCCGGCCTCCGAGTCCTAGCCCTCAAGCTGCAAAGCTCTACCCAAGGGCTCCAATGTAGTTCCTTTTTGGGTTTGTTAAGGGATTATAATATACTACCCGAAAAGGAACTACATAGGAGGGTCTGGGTATATCTTTTGGCAGAAAGTGTTCCGCAAGATTAACTAAGACACTGAGAAAACCATGTATTCCTTGGGGCTCAGATGTACTTCCTTCTGAGTTACCTTACAGAACTCCTCACAAAGATCATACCATGCCTGACAAGGAAATGCACAGGTCCCCCTTCATAGCCCCCATAATAGTCCCTACGAAGCCCCCCTCAAAGGACTTTAGTCTATGGCTCATCTGGGTCACTCCAAAGCCCAAACCCTAAACCCAAATCCCTAAACCCAAAAAATCCAGGCGCCCCACGCACAATAATTTCGAAGCCCGCAGGGTAGGTGAGCTTCGGAATCGAGAGGATGGACGGAGCTTGTATGGCCGAATCTGCTTTGAAGACAATACCTTGGACTGAGTAGTAATTATGTGAGCTATAGTCTAAACCCCTAGTATCCCCCTTAAGAACCTCTGTAGTAGTCCCCTATATACTCCCTTATATAATCCCTTTAAAGACTTCAGATTATGGCTCATGTGGCGTTTGAACCTTCACGTGGGATGATATCTGTCTCATAAAGCAATGCAAACTTAAGATGCTACTCGGGTGGGTTCGTTCCGACAGGTTTCCATCTCAAGTCGAAAATCTCTCGCCTGAAACAGACTCACATCCTGCAGGTCAAGCTGCGGAAGTCAGCCGAAGTGGCGTTGAAGGAGCTGCTCGTAAAATTACCTGCAATGGCCTGGCACGGGTAGGGCTAAAGGCTTCAGGTCAGTGCGCTGTCCTGATGTTTGAAGAATGGCTGGGGATGATCCCAACGCAGAATTTCTTCAAAGGGGGCTCTTCTTCAATACCTGCAAGATGTGGGGGACCCAACTAAGGGACCCTAACTGGACAACCTACCCTATCGAATTACTGGACAACCTACCCTATC